TTTTTTTTTTTTTTGCTTGGGGTGGCAGAAATGCTGGAGCCGGCCCTGACTAAGAGCCTCTAGGTACATCAAGTCCCCCCACATTCCCCCAGCTTAAGAACCTAAGCTCTAGTCTGAGTTCCAATGTCCAAGCACCATCTACACAGCTCTTCTTAGCGTGCTAGTGAGAGAGCTCCGCTAGCACGGGTCAGTGAACTCAGTTGCTTGTTCCCAGATGCAGTGTAGACACTGCCGCCGAGGCTGCCCTGTGCGTGACACTGCCGGTGAGTGTTCTTGGCATGAGGTGATACTGAATTGGGCCCTCTGATTACAGCAGAGCCGTCATACTCAATAACGCTATTGTCTGCCTAAAAGGATGTGCTTCGTTTGCAAGAACTGTCCGCAACGGGGAGAATGAAAACACAACAAATAAAGACTAAGGGCCTTGATCCAGTGCCCACTGAAGTCATTGGAAGGACAGTCATTGACAAACAGCTTTGGATCAAGCCCTAAATGGACAACTTCGCTTGGAGATAAGAGTTGAAGGCAGGGCTACAGTTATTCCCAACACAGATGCACACCTCATCTCTTCAAGCCAGGTCATCTGCATCAGAAAGAAAGAAGAGATTCATTCTGCCCTTCATACTGGACCAAAATCTGCCCCATCCCCCACACACAGCCCCATTTGCTTCAATGCTTTGCAGGGTCTTCACAGAAACGAATCCACTGTTTTTAAGTGACTTCAAAGGAGAGAGCACTTGAAGTCTCAATATAAACCATCTCCATGGAAGGTCAAGTTAAGAGTCCCAGCAAAACATAATGAATCATGTTTCTGTTGTACAAGCTGCCTTCACAATCTGAAAGTTATTAACCGTATCTTCATTATAGTAAAATATGCTATGTGAGATTAGTAGGTACACATCAAAAAATATGTATTACATCCTTTAAAACAAAATATACGTTAAGAATTTCATTGTTAAGAGCTGCAAAGATAGGAGTCACACACTACTAACCATTGCTTCAAAACCTGAATGAAATCACAACTATAACAAAGATTAACCAAGTCTGGTTATAAGATGCAAATAGTGAAGGAGCCTATGGAATCCCTTTATACAGCCTTAGATCAGTTCCTAAATATTCCTACATTATTTCTTGCCAAAGCAGTTTTCATCCTTGTGGATAAAAGGGAAAAATAGCCCAATACATGACTGATTTCCACCCCCAAACAATTCTCAGCACCTTGGTTAAATTCACACCATAAAAAGTACCTATCTACCTTCTTTCTAGCTAGATGCATATGTCTAAGATTTCCATGGGGGCCCGCACCTCTATTTGAAAATTTTTAGGGGGTCCGCAAATGAAAAAAGGTTGAAAACCACTGTCTTAGATACAAGTAACCATTTCCAATGTGTTTCTAGTGTTTATTGGATGAACACTGATTTCATTTTTTGTGTAATGAGGGTGTTTTATTCATGTTTACTGATTAAAAGCTAAAATCAGTACCCTGTATACAATGTATATGTCATATAATTTTTCTTCTTCTTTTTCCTTTATGCTGCTTTTCCTGGTGAGGATCGCGGCGGCAGCATGGCGAGTAGGGAGGACCAGATCTCCTTTTCCTCCACAGCAGGTTCCAGAGCTCCCAGGCCAGCCGGGAGATATATCCCTCTGTTATTATTAATCTCTATATGTTACAGTCCCTTTAATTGAATGATGTGTTATATGGACTCCACTTCATGTATTATTCAGTTAAAGGAACCGTGTGTAGATAATTAAGGTTTCTAGCTTTATGCCCTAATCCTGCAGTAGGATCCGTGTAAGCAGCCCTTTGTGCTCCACTGAAATTAATGAGTGGACCTGGGGATAAGAGAGAGACACTGGAGCTAATTCAGCCCTGATGTAAGCAGACAAAACTCTTACTGAAGCACCACTGACGAGCTGTTTTGCTTACATCAGTGCTGAATTTGTCCCAAAGCGTCGTGCAATTCAGTAGAGAGAGTGAGCCACTGTCAAAGATCCTGCGAAAGGCACCAACCCTTTGAAACTGGTCTGCAGCCAAAGAGGACATGAGCCTTAAATTTTTCAATTTTACAAAATGTTCATGTCTCATCATGCAAACCTAATTATGCAACTGGGAAAAATGTGGCTCCAATTACACTCTCCTGCAAGCTTACATTAGGGCTTTGTAAAAGAGTGGACTGTTCCAAAGAGTACTAGGGCTCATAAAGGCCTTTATGGCTTCTCCTATGCCTTATATCAATCTGTTAACTCTGTCTTCTGTTAGAATAATAATTGAAGTCCTGGGATGGGAAGACAGTATTATGTCATATGCAAGAATGCCCTCCCATATTTTCTATTCTGATTTCTATCGTCGGCAGCAGCGATCCCTCGAGGTTGAGGATGATCTTTCACAAGTTTTATTTTTCATGGGTCCTTTAGTGACTGAGGAGTCCGATTCTTGAGCACAGGCTTGATGGCAGACATTGCAGGTGGTGTTGGAAGACAGGGTTGGGCTGCGATTGCTGCCTGACAGTTGTCTTTCCTTTCTTTTCTGGCATTTTTCTGTGATTTTCCTCAAAAGTGGACGTTCCCTCCCTGATGCGTCGTTGCCAGTTATCCCTATCCTGGGCTGCTGTCTCCCAGTGTGTGCTGTCGATGCCACATCTCATGATGTTTATCTTGAAGGTGTCTTTAAAGTGTTTCTTTTGGCCTCCCCGTTTCCTTTCTCCTTTGGCGAGTTGGGCGTACAGCAGTTGTTTTGGTAAGCGTACATCAGGGATGTGCTCACATTGCTTGTTCTACCTCAGCTGGTGCTGGATAATCAGGGCCTCAACACTGAAGATGTTGGTCTCTGTGAGGACACTGACATTAGTGCGATGATCCTCCCACTTTACGTTGAGGACCTTCCAAAGAAAGTGCTGGTGCTGGCGTTCCAGGTTTTTCAGGTGTTTTCTGTAGGTCACCCAAGTCTCTCAGCCATTGAGGAGAGTTGGGATTACCACCGCTTTATAAACTAAACGTCTACTGTGTGTTCTGATGTTGTGATTGTTGAACACCCGGTGAGACAGTCTGCCAAAGGCAAGGCTGGCACAGCAAATTCTGTGCTGAATCTCGACGTCTATGTCTGCCCTCTGTGACAGATGGCTGCCAAGATAGGCAAAAAATTCTA